TCAGTGCCCGAGCTGAACCCAAAGAAGCACAGGAGTCAGTCCCACAGAGAGTGGGATATAGCAGTTGGGACATGGAAACTTCTGGTGAAATGCAGATCATGGGTACTAGGCAGACAGGGGCTGTAGTTAGACAGGCGAGGAGGAGGTGGCCACATCAAAATGGGCTTCATGTCCTAAGGACTCTGCTCTTTAACCTCAGCAGTAGGCACAGCAGGAGGAAAAATTCTAAGCTAGGAAGTCAGCAGATGAGATCCGCCCCTGGTGATAGAAGGTAGGTGGAAAAGGCTGGGCTTGGAGGCTTAGGAGAGAGATTTGGGGGCCAGAAATCCGCCTTTCACTGGGGCAGAATGACAGAAACTGATGTGTGATGAATTAGAGGAGGGAATTGAGGCTGACCCTCGGGTCTTTGGCTTGAGCAAAGTGTGGAGCAATGACAAATTCTGACTTAAGAGAAAATGTTTCCCTCAAGAGACTGAGCTCTTTCTGGCTATGTACACATCCGTGTGAAGTACAGTGTTAGAGTCAGCTGGATTTCTGCACCTGTAGCCCAGCAGACGGATGTGGGATTCACATGGATGTGTGACGGCCCCTCAACCCTTCCCTTCTCTCTTCCGGGATAATTAAATCCAAGAACAGGGGAGTGACCACTCAGGCAGGTAAACTGAGAACAGAAGTCTAGAAAACAACAACTTTTGTGTTGTGACTTGAGACAAGCTGCGAATCAAAATACTCTAGGGCATATTAAATGTCTTGGATTAGAGACAACAAAACAGAAATCCAACATGAGGGAGCTGGGGTTCAGGGAGCAGAGCCCGGGCTCAGTAGAGATGTGCAGTCCATATAGCTGGGAGGAGACACAAACCCCAACTTAGACAGATGAAACCTCCTGAAGTGGATGTTTATACCCAAGGACAGTAGCCATGGGGGCTCCATATTATGTGGATGACAGGGAAGCTCAGCAGGGGTCTCCAGACCAAAGAAACAAAGGTTTAACCTGGAGGGAGATCAGCTCTTGATGGCCAAGTGACACATAGCCTGACACTGACACCACCCCTTACTATGCCTGACAGCTTGCTGTGGGTTCACTCAGTAAGCGACAATGAATGAAAAGAGAGAAGACTGCGGCCGGAAGTCATTCCTTCTCTGTGTTAGACAGCTGTGTGCTGGGTGCCATGTCCTTGTGTCTGTGTCCCAAAGAGCTGAGCCCAAAGCTTTGCGCACAGTGTGACCCTCCAGGCTTGCACCTTGCAGATGGTCATCCAGTGGTTCTGAGGTGACCATCTACATTCTAGGATCCTGTGTAAGGTGGTGGATCTTGTTTGAGTCTTCCCACAGAGCAGATGTGCAACAGATGGTGGGCCCCTTCTGTAGTGAGGCAGGAGAGCTGATGGGGAGGGGGTCCCATTTCATCAGCACAGATGGGAGCTGATTCGGGGCTTGGCCATGGGAAAAGGGTCTGGCCCTCTTTTCACAGGTGACTCAGCTCTCTGTCCCCGCAGCAAACAGCAGCTTTGGCGGTAGTTAGAACTTGTTTGTTGTTTCCTTCCACAATGATTTTTTACTGATATTCTCTAACTTTATATACATATTTTTAATTCCATGTTTTTGTTCCATTTGCTACCACACCTCTATTTCTTTTCTCCAGTGTGTGTGCTTGGTGCCTGTCACCTGGAGCAACCTCAAGTTCCCATTAATAAAACTGTCAAAATCAGGGCGTCTGGACTGAGTGGTGTCTGCAGAGACCGATTCTGTGTCCATGAGCTAGGAAGCACTCGGTTACTAGCCTGCGGCACCTGTTCTGCTTCTCAGGGGGTGGCGCTGTCTCCATGGGACCAGGCACTGCACTGGGTAAATTTGAAGTGGAAACGGTCCCTGAAATTTCTTCATTCTCTGCTGCCTACTGTGGTGTCTCTGGGAGGTGAACAGGGGCAGCTGATTGGAGCCAACTCAATCAATGAATGTCATCACTCTTTCATTTGTTTTGCTTCTTTTTCTCATACATCATTTCTCTCTCACTTGGATTTTCAGATCATTCATGAGTGTTCATGTGGGCCAACATCCCCATTCTCTCGATTTTTTTGCATGATATATACGCTTTGTGTTACTTCTATTGTTCTACTCAATTCTTGTTGCATGAAGTTCTTCATTTGATTTAAAAGAGAGTATTACATTAAATATTATTCATTTTCCTAGAGGCTAAAGTGTAACAAATATGGCATGATCTAACCCCAGTCAGGGCAGACTGCAATGGCAAGCATAACTCATGAGTGCCTTGGACTGGTGATGTTTACATTTGAACAAAATCCATAGTGATTCATGCTAATTGAGCCTCAGGAAAAACCTCTGACCTCTCTTCAGCCACAGATAGCACTGGGTGGATAAAATGATCCAGTAATCCAATAATAATAGCATAATCCAATAATCCATGCAAAGTGTTTTATTAAACTAAGGAATATTAAAGTGTTTTATTAAACTAAGTGTTTTATTAAACTAAGCCATATTAAACTAAGGAATTAGGGTCTTATTATAATATCATTCATTTCAATAAGATCTCTAACAAGAATTCTCTTTCAGTGGTAGCTGGTGATCATGAAGCTCTGAGTACATTTCTGGAATCAAGGCATTCAGCTTGATTCCAGAAATGTATTTAATTATCACTAACATATCGACCATGAAGGAAAAAAAAAGATATGGAAGTGACAGACAGTAGCTGGTCACAGAGGGCAGAAGTGTTGGGTGCTGAGTTAGTGCTACATCTCCTCCTATTTCCTAAGAAAAGAGAAGCCAGCAAGGAGAATAAGTGCTGTTTTTGGTGAGGGAATTGGATTTTTATACACTGGTTTCATTTTGGACCACTCTTGGCTGAGGCCAGAAGCTCAGGAGCATTGTAATAAGATATATGTGCTTTATAAAAAAGAGACTAAATCAATATTTCTCACCTGGGTGCAATCCACCCTCCAGGGGACTTTGGCAATATCTGAAATAACTGAAAACACTTTTGCTTGTTAAAAGAGTGCAAAAGCACCAGTAGCACATAGAGGGTATAAGACATGGTTGCTGCTAAATATGCCACACTTTACAGAGCAACTTCGCTCCTCTCCTCCCACCATGACTAATAACTATGTAGCCCAAATGTCAAGGGATTTTATTTCTCTTTACCCCAGTATTTCACTAAGCACACTGTTTGTTAAATTTCTTGCTTGCGAGGAGTCAATATACATATTTCTTTTTTTTTTTTTTTTCAGGTACCAGGAATCAAACTCATGACCTTGCTCTTGACAGGCAGGTGCTGTGCCGCTGAGCTAAATCCCCAGCCCCAATATATGTATTTCTTAATCGACATAGTACTTGGACCTAGTGATATTTACGATGTACAGTGTGACATTTCAATACACACATACAATATAGAATGATCAGATTAGAGTCATTGACATATCTGTTACCTCAGAAATTTGTCATTTATTCGTGCTGGGAATATTTAAAATTCTCATCATACTACTTTGAAATATTCAATTCACTGTCACCCGCAGTTATCATACTGTGCTACAGACCATTAAAAAAAAATTGTTCCACGTACCCAATTCAGCCTCCTGCTGCCATGTTTCCCTCCCACTCACCCTTCCCAGGCTCTGGTGATGTTACCCAGTTCTCTATATCTGTGAGATCAACTTTTAAGCTTCCACATATAGTAATGGAAACTTGAATACCTTATGAATAACAGGCTGATAGAAAGAAGTACTATTTGCCTTTCTTTGCCTGACTCATTTCATGTAACTAAATATCTTCCAGTTACAACCATGTGGCTGCAAGTGATAGAACTTAATTCGTTTTTATGGCTGAAGAGTATCCCATTGTGTGTAGACTCCATGCACTTTTTATCTGTTCATCCATTGCTGGACACCTAGGTTAATTCCATATCTCCACTATTATGAATAGTGCTGCAATAAACAGGTGTGTGCATCTCTTTGAAATGCTGATTCTTATTCTTTTGTCTGTATGCCCAATAGTGAGGCAATCGCATTTCTATCCATAAACACGTAGAGGGAAAAAATGAAAGTTGCCTCTGTTGATAGTTTCATATCACATTGCACTTAGCTTTTTAAAACAAAAGACTGATCCATCTGAATTTTTTATTTATAAATTCTGTGATATTGAATGATCATTTGTCAGATGCAGATTATCATAAAACCCACCCCACAGAGCCATTCAAAGGGTGAAATTAAATAATAGAAGAGATCATGTACAATGCTTGAAGAATAGCAAGTCTTTGATGATTATCAGGTGTTACGTTAATCTTAAGGCTGCCATTACATGTTAAACATAACGATGGTTTGAGAATCATCATCTATATGACATATGTTCCTGAGGAATTTTCATGGTCCGGAGGGAGGAGAAGCTGATTTCCACATTGTTTCCACACTTTCACTGTGCTATATCTTCTAGCACCTGCAGCCTAGTTCCTGTTAGGGGCAACCAGGATACAAATGAAATGTGATTTCTCTGACTGATATCCTGCTTTTTGACAAACTTGATTTAGAAAATACTCCTGTGATTGATACAGTTAAGTTATGACAGTGGAATATGGTGGGAACTGACTTTTTGTTTTCTTATTGAAAAGTTAAGAACAGATTTCTTACCTAAGTTCTGAATCAAGAGAAAAATTACAGAACATTAGATATGGGGACAAAACACAGCAAGTGTGTCTTCAGAGCTTCAAAACAATGCTTTCTTTGGTATGAAATTGAAGGGGGAAGGGTGGATGGTTCCAAAGAACCATCTGTGCCTGAGCTTAAATGAACCCATATACACCATGGATGCCTTTCTAGACAACCCACTCACCCCATCTGTCCAGCTCCTGTGGGGCAGGAAACCCCAGAACTGCTCCTCTCCAACAGGGCATGAAGAACCCAGGAAATCACCTGACCCACCACTGCTTCATAAGCCCCAGGACAGCCCCACCCTCCTGCCACTGACCTGAGGTTTCCAGCTCACAGGGTCCTCACTGTCTCACCTGCTCCGTGGGAAATCAGCCTGGCAGACGGGATGCCGCTCCTGAAAGCAGTCCTCCTCTCCTGCCTCTGGGCTTGTGAGTCATTTCCAATTATTTCCATCCACAAAAGAGAATGAAGGCATGCTTTTTTGTCTCTTCTTCTCATAGCATTTATTCATGGAAATTTCTCTTCTTTGTTTGCAGTTGGATTGGGGCAGTTGGAGCAACCTGAAATAGTCATTTCCAGAGCAGCAGATACGAGTGCCAGCATACCTTGTAAGGCATCTATCTCAGGTTTTGGAAGTACAGTAATATTCTGGTACCGACAGAAACCAAATGAAGGCTTAACATACCTCTTGTATGTTAGGGTTAGCACTAATAAAGTTAACTTTGGTGGAAAGAAGAACAAATTTGAGGCAAGTAAAAATTCTGGAGCTTCCACTTCAACCTTGAAAATAAACTTCTTAGAGAAAGGAGATGAGGCCAGGTACTACTGTGCTTACTGGACCGGTAGTGGCACAGCATTAGACTTACAAGAATAATCTACACAAGAAATACTTCCAAGTCTGTGCCAACCCACATCCTTCACATATGAGCAAACCCAGTGCAACTCTACCCCTCCCCATACCCACTTCCGTGGCTGCCCAGGGAGACTCATACATTTCATTCTCCCAGCAATACACATACGGGGTCAGCAATTATTATCCACATATGGGTGATATAGCATTATTTCCTACACCATTGTTCTATGTGTGAACTCTACAAATACAGGATAGATGGCTCAAATGTTAGCCCGGTTATTTGTTACATGACTTTAAGAGATTTCCTACAGCTGAAAGCTTCAGAGTGAAGGCAGGAAAGGCAATATGTTAGGAAACCAGCATACATATTTCAGAGATATCTTCTGATATCACTATTTTCCCATTTCATTCATGAGAAATGGAGGTTTCCTGAGTCAGAATGATGTTTGGTAATAGTTCTATGTCTTTCAGTAATATTGTGTAAGCATTCTGCGGACACCTAGTGACCATTTCACCTGTAAGTAAACAATAAGTTCACTGGGAGATATGAAACCAAGAACAAACCTTGTGTCTGGGAGTAGGATCTAGCTTGGTCCGCACTTAGGGCTCCTACCTGGGACAGATCAAACCCAGCTCCAGTCGCAGGCTGTGAAGACCTTGTGCTTAAGAATTCTCAAAAAAATCTTAAATAGGAGTATCAAACATTAAAAGAATGATGAAACCTGCTGTCTGCATTTATACAGAAAACAGAAATATCACTCACAAATAAACAAAGGAAAAGTAATTACAGACAACTGTTTCAACTGTTTTATGTTTATTCTGTGACAAGCAGTTGGAAACTTGAGGACAAAATGTTGAAAACTATAACTACTCCTTTCCCATGTCTTTGGTCCTTGAAGTCTGCTTTCAAATCAGGTGGAAATTAATGAGGAAAAATTATTCCATCAGAAATTTTTCTCATACTGAGATATTTGTTAATATGAACATCCTACCACATAGGAACCATACACATACTTTACCTAGTAACACTAAAAGAAACGGAAAGTATTTGTCATCAATCAGCTGGGGTTCTTTGGCTCAATTTTGATAGAAATCTTGAATTGGAGAAGGGTAGCCTCCTAGAGTTTAGTAGCTCTAGGCTTTTTTTTTGTTTGTTTGTTTTTTCTCCGGTACCGGGAACTGAACTCACGACCTTGCGCTTGCCAGGCAGACGCTTTGCCGCTGAGCTAAATCCCCAGCCCAGTAGCTCTAGGCTTTGACAGCCAGTGTCTGACAACTCTGAACTTTGAATTGCAAGTACACTTTAGCTGTTAGTGTTACAGCTCTCATTCTTATGGCTCTAAGCTTTGAGTATTAGCACCTCCCAGTTGTTTTTGTCAGCTCCTGAGCCTATACATCTTTCAACAGTTTTCTGGAGATCTTCCAGAAGCTTCCAGCATCTGTCTTGGTGGACCTTCTACTGTTCTCCAATTATCTCCGCACGTATCCACACTTTTGGTTCTTCGTGAGTCCCCTGCTTTCTGGACCTTCTCAGGAGCCCATGACTACCTTGTGTATTCAAGTCTAATAGGCCTTAGTGTTTCCTGCTCTTTCATAGTGCAATATGCTCAGCCTACTTATCATGGTTGTACCCAACCCTCACCACCCCAAGAGTCATGTGTTCAGAAGTAGAGCTTTTGGAAGGTAATTAGGTCATAGGGACATTAAACTCCTCAGTGAATTAATTTGTTCATGAGTTTATAGCTAAGTTTACTGTTAGGAAGTGGAGCTCAGTTAAAGGAAGTAGGTCATTAGAAGCATAATGTAGAAGGCATATTCTTGTCTTCAGCCCCTTCTGATCTCTCTAGCTCTTCTCTGCTTGCTCTGGTTCTTTGCTCCATGGGATGAGCAGCTTTCCTCTGCACTGCCCTTCTGCCATGATATGTCTGTCTCAAAGCCAGGTGAATATGAACTGAAACTTCTAAAACCATGAGACAAATGAACCTTTTCTCCTTCAAATTTTGTGTATCAGGTGTTTTGTCCCAGCAATGGAAAAGCTAATTAATACACCAGCTAAGCATCTAAGATATTTTATTTTATCTAAGATATTTTATTGTATCTAAGATAAAAGCACAAGTAGGCAATAAGACCACCCAAGGGAAGCTATTTTTATTTTGGGAGCCCTCTTGGTAATACACAGGGGAAAGCCCTCTTGGACTGATCCCAGGAAAGTGAGGGGATATTGCTTATATTGGCCCAAGTATGCCTAGTCTCCTACATCTCATGGGCCAATCTTTGGACTTTCCAAATACTGGCAGACGGGTCCAGGGTCATCTGGAGTGGCTTCAGGGCAGAAATGTCCATGATAAACCCATGTCTAAAGCCTGTGGCAGTCTAAATGCAGCTGTGGGCCACCTAGGACAGCCAGAGGTGTCACTGTGATAGCTTGGCTGCATTGCAGGAGCAGCAAGGGAGTGCTGAAGTTGTGACTGGTGCCACTTCCAGTGAGTGTCCAATAGAAGCAGTCTGTTGATCATAGCCCATTGGGGATGAAGGGTATCTCTATTTCTGCCCCATCATGAGTGGTCTTTCAGCTGCTCCTCAGAACAGCCCAGGGTGAGAGAGGCATCAATGCTCTCAGTGGAACTGTAAGGGATGCAGGTGCCAATGTCCTTTAGACTGCAGTTGTTAAGGGAACCATACTGGAGCCAAGAAGATACTGCAGGTAACAGTGACCCCAGAGGGGCATCACCTGGAGGGTCCTAACAGCTGATAGGGAGATCATAGTCTCTTTGGATGCTAAAGAAGAGAAAAGGGAAGGGATGGGCCTACATCTTTTATTTCACATCTTTCTCCACTTCTCACCTGTAGGGGCCAGGTTGTGCTATAAGTGCCACGACACCATTGAAGCCCAATGAGGTAGCACTAACGAGGCTCCAGAGCATCTTTCCAGAGGCAGAACAGGACCTCGGGTTCCACACCTTGTCAAAGTGACACCTGGCCCTGGTGACCACAGTGGAAATGACTAGAGAGCCTGGCTCAGTCTCAGTACACTTTGCCTCTCATCAGATGTGCATAGATGCAAAGGAAAGAAAACATGCAGAGGGTAAAGCCAGCCTGAGGACCTGGAAACTTTCTAGAAAGAAAGGCATGAAAAGATAGAATCAAATATGTCAGTATATCTGTGCTACATCCTTCATGGAGATTACTTCTTTAACTCCCAGAAGGGTGATGTAGGACTCCACTGCCATCTTTGATGCTTCTTTTAATAGGAGCTGTGTCCTCCTCTTTCCTCACACTCTGGGCCAGGGATGGCTTTTGTATGTGTCCCAAATAATCTCTTCCTCACCAACTGTTATGGTTTGTGTCTGGATGTGTCCCCCCCAAAGCCTCATGTAGTCATGGATGGGCTTCTAGAATTTATGATTGATTCATGGTCCAATGTTGGAATTATGGATGTGAGTGTTACACCTGCCATGGGGCAGGTAGTTTGTGTAAATGTAAGGGAGGGAAAGAGGCTGCTTGCTGCCGCTCCCCTCCTTTTGTTCTTGTTGCTTTGCTGTCTTCCACTACCATAAACAGTTGCCCTCTGCCATGTGCCACCCTGCCTCAGAGCCAGCCGAGTATGGACTGAAACTTCCACAGACTGTGAGCTAAATAAACCTTTCCTTCCTTAATTTTGGGCATTGGGTAGTTTTTCTCAGCAACAAGAGAAAAGTAACCAAGATACCAACTATAGGATGCTTCAGGGTAGGCAACAAAGCAATTCCCAAGATGAATTTAAGTAGATGAGTAAGTGAATAATGGAGACTGCAAGGCGTTTTGAAGGAGATAGGCCTACTTCTCACATTCCTACTGGGCCACTTGTAAACAGTGTGACCTATGAAAGAAAATACTAGAGCTTTTTGCTCTATTTTTCTAACTTTAGTAAAAACACAGTTAACAACTGAGCTGGGTTGCTGAAGACTCTGTAAGGTCTATCTGAAAGATCTTAGTATCATGTTCAACAAATCCCAATACAATCACTCCACTGAACAATCTCAGCTCAAATGGGATTGGTTAAAGACTCTAGCATACACTGCCCTCAAACCACAGTAAAGTGCAGCTTTAGTTCTGAAGAAAGAGTTATAAATGGGACAAGAGTGGACAGTAAAGAAAGAAAAGGGTTTTTCCTCTAGTAAGTTTCCTACATCACAAGTTGTAATAATTCCAAAGTGTCTCTAGCCACATTGATGATTAAGAGTGATTAAGCTGGCAACCTTTGGAAAGAAGCTCATTTATAAAATGCACTTTCTAGTGCATAAGACTAGGATTCGTTACTGATTCACATGAAGTTTCAATGTGTACATACTTTATATAATGTTCAAGTAAATGTAAGTACATCTATCTTCTCAAATGCTTATCATTTTTATGATAAAATACTGAGATGCTTTTTCTCAATTTTTGCAATATAATATATATTATTATCTTACTTATTTTTCTGTCATTGCTGAGACAAAATACTCAATATCTACAAGTTAAAGGAAGGAAGGTTTATTCAGCTCACAGTTTGTGGAAGTTTCAGTCTAATTAGCTGGCTTTAAGGAAGGGTGGAACGGCAACGGGGCAAATCATTTGTGGCGGTGGAAGGCAGGAAAAGCAACAAGAAAGAAGAAAGACAGAGCCTCTGAAAAGCCTGCCCACCATGACTGCATCAGGCTTTAGGGGGACACCCACACACAAACTATGACATTCCACTCCAGTCCCTCCAAAGACTCATGCACATCCCTTTATGAAAAAGGCATTTAGTCCATCTGCAAGAGTTGCCAAAGTCCTAACAGTTTTAGCATTGCCAAAAAGTTCAAGTCCCAAGTCTCCTCTGAGATGTAAGGCAAATTATTACCTGTAAGCCCCTGTACAAATGAAAAGAAAGTTAAACACTTCCAACATTCAATGGCACAAGATAGACATCTTCATTCCAAAAGTTACATACAGGGTGATACAAAGGAAAGGGACCAAATCAAGTCCCAGAATTCAGCAGAGCAAACATTAAGTCCTGTATTTCCATGTGCAGCACATGAGGCAATCCGTGGCAAGTTGTGAACTCCAAAGGGCTTGGGTGGCTCTGGCCCTACAGTACTGCTGGTGGTTGTAGCTCCCACAGCTGCTCTCTTGGGCTTTTTTTGCTCCTTTCTTGTAGCTTTCCTTAGAGGATCCATGTTCTTGGCTTTTCCAAACTTCTGCAGTCTCCACTGAACCTTTAGCTTCACACTCACTGCCTCACACATTGTATTTTCAAGGGTACAGGCCTCCTTCTGAAATCTGTGTAGGAGCCTTCCTTACCCCACAACTCTTGCATTCTGCTTGCACATAAAATCAGCACCACATGGATGATGCCAAGGCCTTCTGTCAGCTGGAGCAGTAGCCAGGCTTTCCTCCCTCTTGCCTGTAGGGATAGAGTGCCTGGATCCCTGAGCACTCTGAATTAATTCTGCAGAACAAATTTTCTAGGCCACTGCCATTCTGGAGCATGATGCTCTGTGGCTTTCTTAAAGCAAAATTTTTCATGACTGACTACATGAGGCATTAGGAGACTATCTAGACACAAACCATAACAATTATTATCTACACTCTTCTTGCTTTTAGTTTACAGTACTATGTACTACCTCATTGCTTTCCAGAATATGCAGATAAAACATATTTCAACTGCTCGCTTTCTTTCTTTCTTTCTTTCTTTCTTTCTTTCTTTCTTTCTTTCTTTCTTTCTTTCTTTCTTTCTTCCTTTCCTTGCAGTACTGGGGATTGAACCCAGAGATGGTTTACTATTGACCTATATTCTCAGCCCTCTTTTATTTTTCCCTCATTTCTGCAAAGAGTCTAGTTAAGTTGCCCATATTTGCAATTATCCTGTCTCAGCCTCCCAAGTAACTACAAGTACAGGCATGTGCCACCATGCCCAGTCCTACTTTTTATTTAGTTTGATAACCCCTATAATTTTCAGAAGCAAATCCTCAATATCTTATACAACCAGTGGAGATTGAGTCTTTATTTTACACAGGCCTCAGGTTTACTTAGAAACTGTCTCTGCCACACTATCTGTCTGACTCCAACCAGTCTGAAGTAAGTGGAAGAACAGGAGCTGGGATCTTGCAGACCACCTCCTTTCAGTGATTATAACCATTTATAGCTGAGGTTGAAAAAGATAAATATATAGGTAGTTCCTGATTCATAGTAGACCTGATATGAATTTTCTTTGCTCTGCCACTAGATAGCCCAGGACTAGGACCTGTTGTCCAGGAAGAGGGAGAAAGGAAGTAGAAAAGAGATTTTAGAGTTGGAGGCAGAGTGTTAATTCAAAAGAGATTCTTCCACACATAACTGCCTTACATGTACTCATGTTCACAATAGAAAAACAAACATATTTTGTCTACCAAAAAGAAATACGTGCTCCACAGGTACAGCTGATAATAGGTGCTGCATAAATCAATAAATATCTGTAGACAGAGGGTCATACCATATACCCACGTGTGAAAGAAACCCTATCTGAATAGATCATTAAATTCAGAAAAACCATTGATGGGAAAACTGCTTATGAAAACTTGCCTGAAGGTGAAATAATCTGGCCTCTCCCATAGTACTTTACAATAATCACTGTTCTGTGTAGAGACATATCTGATATTACATAAGGGATGGCATATGTGAAATCAAAATTATGCCAGAAGGGGCTGGGGATTTAGCTCAGCTGCACAGTACCTGCCTGGCAAGCGCAAGGTCGTGAGTTCGATTCCTGGTACCAGAAAAAAAAACAAAAACAAGAAAAAAAAAATCCAAAACTATGCCAGACTGTGACAGTAAGTGGTTTATAGAAGAAATACATGACTTTTATCTCTTGAACATGTCATGTAATGTATTTATTGCAGTTTAAAAGATAATCTGTTCAGCCAGGTGTGGTGGCACACACCTATAATCCCAGCACTCCAGAGGCTGAGGCAGGAGGACTGTTGTGAGTTCTAGGCCAGCTTGGTCTACAAAGTGAGCTCAAGGTCAGCCTGAACTGCATAGAGAGACCCTGCCTCAAAAAAAAAAAAAAAGATAATCTGTTCATTTTCAATTTGAAAAACTAACTTACAGGTAGATCAGCTTACATTAAAAACCATCAACATTTCCAGAAGATGAACCAATGTGAAGGAAATGTGAACATTATTATTTTTGTCAAGGTGGAAACTCTATTAGGGTTCTCTATGAGAATAGAATCAATAGAAAATATGAAAGGAGATTTATCAGGTAACTTTAAAGGATCAGAAGCAGATGAGTCTGTAATGGCTATCTGTGTCACCAGATGCAGAGATCCTGTAGCTACAGGGAGATCCTGTAGCTTCCCAGTCAAGAAGATGGAAACCGAGAAAAAGAGGGATCAAGGATGCAGCACCAGCCCAAATGAGAGGCTGGAAGCTCTCTGGAGAGTTTCCAGTAAGAGGTTCAGGAAACTGGGCACCTGGAGATGAATGTCCAAAGTCCGAAGCACACACCCATTCATGATCTACTCATTTCATTTTCCTCCCTGAAACATTAAGTTAGTGCTCCTCATCTATGCTTTCAAAAATATTTATTTGAAAACACACATTTATTTAAAAGTGAAAATTCTCCACACTGTTACTTAAACATTAATGTACTTAATAAAGCTTCTACCTCATCCCCACCCTGTGAGCTCCTCTACCCAGTGGATTCGATGACTCATACCTGTCCTTCCTGACACACATGTAGTTTTGCAATTGCAGTTTCAATTTTTTTTGTTTTTGTTTTGTTAGTCTTGTTCTGTAGTCCAAGCTGGCGTGGAACTTGCTAGGTAGCTGAGGGTGGCCTTCAACTCAGCAGTCTTCCTGCCTCAGCCTCCAGTGACTGTGATTACAGGTGTGCACCACCATGCCTAGCTACAGTTTTAATTTTAATCTGTTTGAAAGTAGAGATTTTTTTATCTTTCCAACAGATAAGCATTATCTAATTACAGTTATAAAATAACCTATCATTTTCCTACAATTAAAAATGCTGTATTATATTTTGAATATCCATACACTTTGGCATATTTTAGTTACATTTATCCTTTTTGGATATTAGTTACATTTATCCTTTGGATATTCATATTATGCTTACATCATTGACCTACTATATCAGTAGCTTCATAATAAGTACTAAAATCTATATGCCAATTATGTATTCACTCTTAAAATGTCACTATTTCTATTCTGTTACGCTTATGAATCCTTATAGAATTTTAAATTCACTTACCTGGCCACCACTAACACTCAAAACCCAGACCAAAAATGTAAAATCTTGTCATGATCCTGATTGAAACTGCAGTCAGTGTATGCATGAATTCAGAGGATATTGGCTACTCTATGATGGTAGTTTCTTCTTCGGGTCCTCTAAAGGGGTCAGTTCTGGCAATTGCTTTCTCTCTGCTCTGAGATGAGTTACATATGAACGGAGAACTGTTTCTAAAGGTTTCCTCTTTCAATATATCAGAGGACTGGGATTTCTCCAGTTGTTTTTTAAACAGAGAATCTGCAATTTTATAGGAGCTAGACTTCCACAGTTTTATTCTGTTAGTTCAGGAAGAATAACAAAGTCATCTTAGAGCTTACTTGCTCACTCGGATTTGCTCCTCTAATTAATCGTGATGTCAAGTGGCAAGTGTGGCTTTGTGGCAAATGGAGACCCTGACTCACATTTCTGAAATATGTGGGTGCATTCACATTTTCAGTTACTAAAGGAAAGAAATTCATTTTGTTCAGAAACGTTTTCCCAAATTGCTCGTGAAATCTTTGGTGTGGGTGAGAACAGGCAGCCCCCTCCTCTGCTGCAAAACTCAGCAGCTTCAACACAAAGGAACACCTGGAAATTTCCTTTCAAGGCTTAATTCTCAGAACTTTTTTTCTGGTAGCAGAGAAAATCAGTTGGTGGACCAGGAGCCATCTCTCCTCTTCTTTTGCTTATTCTTGCTATTTTCTTTTGGCGCTTTCTAAAAAACTACTTCCTTAGTAGGAAACCACGCATGAGTCCCTTTGTGAGGAATCCCTCTACTAATCCTATGCCATAAAATGTGTTCAAGGACTTCCAAAGAAACCCAAAAAAGGGGAAGGGCCACGACAAAGTTATTACATTGCCAGCCATGTCATAAAGTCCTGGAGATACTGAAATGTTTGGAGACTTTGGGTGCAGTGTGATTGTCCAGGCAGGATCACCACATTTGCAGGAGAGACCAAGCTCATAGAAATGCCGCCTGGTAACTAGTGTGCAATAGCTGTCATTACCCCAGCAATGAATAAAGCAAAGATGCTTTTTAAAACAACAATTTACCATCAGCCTTTTCTGACTCCACTGTGTTCTTGGGTTGAGAACAGGAACAACAAAAACAATGGATATGGAAACCAAATTTCCTTGTAATTGGCTTCTTTTCCTTCCTGTAAGAAAGCACTTTAAAATTCTACATTCAGAAGCACCTATACACAAGTGATACACTCAAGCTAGAAGTTAAATGGCTTGAGGATCATTTCTATACAGCACAGGGGTAAGTGATTGCTTCAAGATAATTTTTGTGGGTCTTTTAGGTGAGACTTCTCAAAGTGGAATTAACTAATTCTGCTTCTCTGTGTTTTGAGATATGACATAGTGCTCCTTCCTCCTAATAATTTGCAAAAGCTGTATTCTTCATTTTAATGTCATCTCCAGTTATTAGAGATGCAAACAATTCTTGTGTTAAATTGCTATAAAACATTGAGAATCTCTACTTCCTATTTCTCTAACTCTTTCAGGGTTAGACTATGATTCGTTAAAATTATATGCTATCTGGACAGTCCTAATAATGACTGGAGAAGGTGAAATTTGCAAGTTCCGCAAACCACTGCAGTCCAAGGGCTATGAAAAGAATCGACATGGTTTTCTAACCTCATTTGCTCATATATTCTCTCAGAAAATGTTCACTGAAGTCAGTTCTTTCTGATGATAAAACAGGAGACAAGACACACGCCCAACACCCCAAAGCTTCCAGTCCGTTGAACACTACCCTGCATTCTACTTGGATTGGACCTACTGGTTCTTTCGCCTGTTATTGCTAAAAATGCAGGAGGTCTTGTGTTCATGGATTCTTTAAATTGAGTAGTAGTTGTTACTTATAAAATCCATACACAATATGAGCATTTTTAATCTTAAAACCCGATATCCCTCGAAAATGTAACACTCAGATCTAATGTAATGGTGTTTTAGCTTTGTCTTTATTTAAAGGCAGTGTGTCTGATTTTTAGGTTTTTATATAAATATTGAAAAATACTGTAAACTAAAATGAGGATGAAGTGGTTTTATAAAGGGTTTAAAGACAAGGGATACTTGAATGGCAGAATCATCAATGTTTTGGGTCTGACACAAGGCTCATTCTCACACTTACAGGTGAATGTCCTTTCCATTCTGCGGAGTGCAGTGAGGAGGGGCAGCAGCAGTGCAGTGCCCCAGGCCTCAGTTCAGGGGATGGCTCAACTTCCTGGAATCACTCCTGGCTTGGTCCCTTATCACAGTAAGATTTCTGGAGAAGCCAGATGACTTGGGCCTAATTACTAAATTAAAAAGGACTTTAATTCATGAGTTCTTCAGGTAGAAAGTGAAGTATAGAGCAGACACTGACTTCAGCATCTATTTGGGAAGTGAAAGAAACGGTTGTTAAGCAAACCCATTGCACCCCACCATGGCCTCAGAACTGTGGGCTTCATAACATCAATCTCATGCACAGATGGGAACCTCAGCACTTATGCTCAGGCAAATAACACTTAGTGCCCCTAGATGCCTTTGCAAAGCAGGCCTCATGCTGTTTCCCTAGTCGTTCTGCCTGAGACAGCCAGGCCAGGAGTTGCAAGCTGGGCTTTGGTATGAACTGACCAAAGTCATTTGGAGGCTGAACCTTTTGGCAGAAAGCTTGGAGTTGCCATGTGTTGCTCTGCTAATTGGAAAAGAGTCATTTGGTTTAGAAAACACAAGTGAAGCTTTTCTGCACAGTGACTGTATGTATTGTGCATTAGCCAGGCCTCCCTTTGATTGTCTTAGATGGTCAGAAGAAAACAGATGAGAGCCTATTAATGCCTGGGTGTGTGAAAACCGTACTTCTTGTGATAATGCAAATGGAGAACTGAGGAACTGGTCTCCCTCCTTAATTGCCATGGATCGAACTGCAGCTCCCAAATGCTGAATATAAGGGCAAGATTTGGACCTATGAGATGAAAATACTTGGCACACACAGAGCAAACTAATTGCTCATACTAACAAAAGTAAAGATAATAAAAACCCTCTGGTGTTTCTCTAGTCCTTTTAATCAAGTTGCTCTTTACAACTTCTTTAATTTTGGTTTCGTTTTAGCGCGGGTAGTGATGTTGAATTGATTTATAGTAACATCGTTGTTTTAAGACAAATAAAGCAGAAAAATGTTCAAGTTTTTGATAGGTTTAGCCACTGAACTTGTTATAAACAAAATGAACCAGGTCAGAACTGTGGTCTCTGTACAACTCCAGGATATGTTGGCGCTAGAACATAAAGAATCCAATCTCAGGTTTTTGCTACGAGTGGAATCACTGTGGTATGATAAGAAAATCTTCGGTGGAGGAACGAAACTGATTGTGACAGGTGGGTACTCTCAGAGAACATTTCTTAAGGGAATAAAAGAGAGGAAAGAAATGATCTTGTTGGAATAATAGTGACAGTGTTCAGTAGAAAGAGGAACGTGAGGGGAATTGGTGTATTAATCTGAGGAGAGATTTTCATATAGATGCTTAGCCTAAAGGACAGCAGGGTCAGCACTGTACAGATCTTCTAACAGGAGTTGGCTATGAGTACATGTGAGCTCTTATAAAGTAGGTGCTCACATAGAATATGCATAATGATAACACTAAAGTGTTTGACTCTGAGATAAAGCTCATTGTTCCAGATAAACCGGTCATACACTGAGTAGAGCGGATTCATTCTGGCTTCTCATGGTCAAGTGTGATGTGGAAGAGTCTGGGCTTTGCAGGTCGGCAGATCTGCAGCTCCAGCTCCACCACTTATAGTTGAGGACCTTGGGTGACTATTTCTTAGCCTATAAAATAGGATAGCACTGTGACTCTGCAGGGATATATGAGAATTGATTATGATAATGTGAATAAGGTCCTGGCTCCTTGTCCAGTACGTCATAGGTGCCCACTAGGTGTTCTTTCGTGTCACATGTAAAGGGAGAATTGTCTGCACTATGTCTTTTCAGGCAACTATATTTACCACAGGGCAGAATTCTCCTTAGGATTAACCTGTATCTGTACTGTTTAAATAACAGATTATCTTAACATCCACTCACATGGAGAGTTGGATCTGGAGGTACTTATTTACCTTTAGGAAACTTTTTTTTACCTGGCAAAAGAAAATTAATTTAAAAGTGTTTTCAGAAAATTTTTGTCTGTATCATTTAAATTTCTGTTTTATCCTAATTGTTAATGTCTCTAATATCAGTACTAAGAGTGCTAAAATTTATAGCTACTTGGTTTAGGCTTCTGCCTGTATTTACAGACGGGATTGCTATATTCATATAGGAATTGACCAACTTAAAATTAAATATAGTTGAAAACTTGTCATAAATCTGAAATGCACAGTTAAATATAAAATAAGTGTAACTATTTGATGAAAAAAGAGACTAATTAGAGAACATTTAAATAAATTCTTATATGTTGGTATGAAATACCATACTGTCAATAGATAACACTATATTTGGTAAATTTATGTACAATTCAGACTGTTGCATTTTAAAAGCATACTCAGAGAAATTTAACACAAAATGCATTGAGTGATTAGACAGATGATATACATTAAGGAATTAGACAGCTTCATTTTTTAAATAAAATATATAGCAACCACTCCATTCATTATTCAAACAAAATGGAATCCTAGAAATTTATTGTCATTTAAAAAATTGATTAGGAAAAGCACTCAATACCGACACTTAACAGTCACATTTACAAAGACAATGTAATGACAACAATCCACAGTGTAGATAGTAACCATGTATAATCATATGTAATCAGGTATGATAAAGTTTAGCTAACTATTGCACTGAAAAAGTTATAGAAATTCAACTATTATTTTATCCTTGAAGCTGAACATTGAGGAATTTTTCAAAGAAAAAAAAAACAAGAGATAATGGATGAAGTGCTGCTATATAGAAATTTTTCTATATAGCATGTGATTTCAACTTCTTTTTTATAATAAATGTAAAGCATTTTGATGAAAAAACATAATATATTAAAATGATCATTAGATGCACTACATTGGTTTACACTAAGTTTATATAAAATACAATTGAAAATTAAACATTCTTTTATAACATGCTTAGAAATACATATGCAGCAAATGATTCAAGAAATACAAGAATCGTACTTTTTGCACTTATAGCAAGATGTATGAACTTATAAACAGGCAAATCATATAATGATATTTATACCATGTTTGAAAATATTAACATTATAATCTTACTGATTTTATATAAAAACCAGGTGTGTCACTGCTACAAGTAGAAATTAGCAAGAATTTTTGTTCTGTTCTTCTCAAATGAGGAACGCACTGCTCCATTTCCTAAAATGTTGCTCACTGAATTGTTATATAAACTTCAAATTATCCCCCCCAAAATCGGCATAATATTTGAGTTTCAATGTGAAATCTAATCAAAAAAATCCCAGCATTTGTCATGTCATTGTATTGAAAATAAAAGTATAACGAGGTAGTATTCAAGAAGACCTGATGTATCTTTGTATCCATGTGACCCTTTGTTATGTATTTTGTCATTGTGTCTGCAAGAAATCGAGGGCACACATTACACCAGTTATGCATACACTTTATTCAGCAGGATAACACAGAGGAATAAAGAGCTTCAGAACAGAGGAGCAGCACATAGAATCGATCCATATTTTGGGAAAAATACTGAGAATCAAAATATGGATTTTCAGATATGTATAGGTCTTCCCTAAGTGAGTCAAAAGATACCTTAGTAATCAAAGTAGAAAAAACCACGTGTATGCTGCATCCTGAGGAATAGTTGAAGTTTAATTGAAATTACAACCTGAAGTGGGCTTTTGGCTAACCTTTTCTAAACAAAATAAAATTTGGATAAATGAATCACAGTGTAAGACTAACATAAGCTCTTTTCTAAAAATAAAAACAAGTTAAAGGAATTTGTGAACATTGTTATTTTGGTCCTAAATTCAAAATACTGTAATTATTTTGAAAGTGCAGCTTTAATGCTGCCCAATTCAATAATCCAGAGTATTTTAGATGTGAAAGTGAGATGCCCTATAAAGTCAGAATAAGCCAGGAACTTGAGAGGTGAGCATGCAATCTCATATTTGAAACTAAGTGCTCAACTTGAGGCACTGTAACTACACATGGAGTGGATTCCCAAGGAGACAGGAGCCTGTGTACAATGACAAATAAAAAAAACAACCTTCCATCTGACATTTACCCCTGTGATCAGCAGGACAGACAGGGTGCATCATGGCACTAATTAAGTGAAAAATGGGTTGCACGGATGGCAGAGCAGGAGAATGTGAGTTACTTGGTCAGAGAATTTAAGGATGGGAAAGACAAGCTCTTTAGAAGGAACCTCAGAGCCTCATCTGCAGAGAGCTCATCCAAGTGACTGGTCCTCTCCTCTCCCTTGACTGCCACAGTGAAAACATGCTCCACTGTGAGAGCATGAAGACAATGTAAAGGTAAGGAAATAAACCACTTATTAACATTGGAAGAATTGGTATAAAGCAGTTGAAGTCATATCCCATCTTAATATGAGGAGTAAGGACAAGACAGTTTCCATCCATGCTTTGCCACTTGAAAGCTGTGACTTTTAAAAGTCTGAGTGACCTGGTCATCCTCTTTAAACATCTGTACAGTGAGGACAGTAATCAATACCCTGCAAATCCACAGGGGAGAAGGGCCATGATGCTACTAATTCAATGGTAATTTGTCCTTTTGCTGCACATTAAGTTTTTCCAAAACACACAATGCTTGTGTTTCTCTAATAATTCCCTTTGTTGATGCTCCCTTTTTCTACAGATAAAGTCTTCGCAGGAGACATTTCCCCCAGACCCACTATTTTTCTTCCTTCAGTGGCTGAAACGCATTTCCATAAGGCTGGGACATATCTCTGTCTCCTGGAGAATTTTTTTCCTGATGTTATTAAGGTATATTGGAAAGAAAAGGATGGGAGTGCGGTTCTAGAATCCTATCAGGGAGACACCATGAAGACCAATGACACCTATATGAAGTTCAGCTGGTTAACTGTGACTGGGGACTCAATGGATAAAGAGCACAAATGCATTGTTACTCACCAGAATAATAAAGGAGGCATTGATCAAGAGATTCTGTTTCCTCCCATAGGAAAAGGTATGTGGATATAAATGTGAATATAACCTTCAGAACACTTATTTGCAAGAGAACATACCATCTTTTGTATTAAGTATTAATGATAAATATGTCTTTCTTAAATATCATCATATTTAATGGTAGGGTTTTCTGCTCTTTTCCCATAGAATTAATATGGTAAAAGTTTGAGAAAACAAAGGGAAATTTTTTAATTAAACTTTCTCAACTTCAATTTCACCATTTAAAATACTATGACTTTTTAGCATTGTTATTTGAATCAAATAAAACAGCATATTTTGGAGACACCTAGCAATGAACTACAGGATAAATGGTGTGAGAAGTTTCCACTTTGATAACTTTATTTGATTTAGGGAGAAAGAGAACTATGCATTTCTTAGGGATATTCTATCTAGTAAGCAAAGTCACCCACTTCAGCCTTGCTATGCCCCATGATTCATCTACAAACAATGAGTTAGTAATTGACAAAATGGCACTCAGACAAAACACTCTGAATCTGGCCTTATGAAAAATAGAGTAAGGTTAGCCACTGCACTTTGATGGTGGTGTTGATATTTTCTGATTTTTATTTCAGCATTAAGCAAAATACTAGAATTAGAGATTGGGTGAGGCTCATGTGTCTAAGCATATTTCCCTTTCCCATGATGGGTGGATGTCTTGCCATTGGTAAATGCAGCTACACTAACACTGTACTGTTAGACTCTTCAAGGCTTGAATGGGAATAAGCATGATTTGGGTAGGATAAGTTAGTGTCCCAGGGTGGATGCGTCGCAATGAAAAGAGAATGACCTTTTCCTCATCACTGAGGGTCATGCGCAGTTTAGGCCAGTGTCCACAGTGGGACCATCTTACATACTGAGGTATGTGACTATACAGCTGGACTGAGGACAGGGTCCAGCAGGGTGCAGTAACTTACTGTGCATCCCAGTTCTGAGTGTAACACATTGCTAAGTAATAAAGGGTAGGCAAATACCCAAGGTATGAGGTTAATGAAACTGCTCCACTTAAGTATCCAATTAGATCTTGATGTTTTTAACAAAACAAAAATATTCATTCCATGGTAACAACTATTATGTAGGAGAGAAGTTCCAGTTTTATGATGTTTCTCTTGACACTAAATCTAAAATAAGTATCTTTCCCATGCTTTTCATGGCAATCAAGTTGAGTAGGGCATTTCTGTTAATGTCACTAAACAGAAAAATTGTAATCTGCTGCCTGAGGGATTTTTTTAACAAAAAATATACTCAGTATACTTAAAAATACATAGCATACATGTACATTTTATTGTTCATATCTTCAATTTATTCTTTTTTCCTCAGTTCATGGCAATAATAATTTTCATTCATTTTTAGTGGAAAAGTATCCTGCAGAAAGAAATAGATTTTTCAGATCCAGTACAGTTAGTTCTTAAAGAAATTTTTAATTAAAACATAATCATACAAATATTTAAATTTATGGGTCTTACTCAAAAATCCTAACCATCAAATCCATTTTTAATAATTCACTGTTCAGTAAAATTGCATAGCAGAAACATACTCATGTGAACAAAGGCACATCCAGCAGAAAAAGAATAAACCAAAGCAGTAGTTATGCTTCTAGTTTTCACCCATTAATTTATTAATCTTCATAATACTTTCTCTTTTTAAAAATACCAGAGATATTTATATCTCACCTCAAGTTTTATTAAGATATTTAGGAAACAGGTTTAGCATATTTTCCATCTCCAGAAATAATTGAACTCAGCACCTCTAACTTTTAATTCTTTGTGCCTATAATTTTAAAAGGTCATGGGTTAACACAAATTAAGATGCTAATATAGAATATTTTCTTAGTATCCACAATAGTGGATTCTCCTGCCTCCCTGTGAATTATTATTTATATATTTCTATGGATTACTTTTACAAAGTGCTTTTCATATATCCTTGTTCCTTTATTCCTTGCACTATCCTTTGAATACCAGCTCCACCATCTCCTGGTCTAAGTTACCTAAACTCATAACATTTATTTCCTCGTTCATCACATGGAACCTTCCTGAATACAACTCTCTTAAGTGCTAATTGCACATTTAAACAGTATGATGCAGAAAAAGACATGTAACAAGTGCCAGGTGCAACAACGGTTACCGAGTAGCTATTAGTGTTATCAGTATTGTATTCCTTGGGTTCACAAAATCTGGACCTCGAGAAACATAGTGTATGAACAGGGGACATTGCGAACGTGCATGGCTTGGGAAGGGATGGCCGCTTTCCTGCATGCAAATGGGAAATTTCTCTAAGTCGGTCTCCTTCAGGTGCTGGTTCTGGGATTGGACAGGCTTTTCTGCGGGGGAAGGAGTAGGATACTTTCTTTATGTTCTTTCTTTTTTATTTTATTTTTTCCTTTGTCCTCTCCTCCTCACTGGCTCCCCCATCCTCAGATCCCCTTTCCCACCTCCACATGTCAGTGGTGCATGCTGAAGGCTGGAAAGCAGCCAGTTCTCTTAAGCAGCCAATTCTCTTAATTTTTCCATTGACTGAGCATTTGTATATCGTCTATTTTTGTAGCAGGCACTTTGCTAGGAGCTATCTGTATAGAGGAAAAGCAGATAGTCATGGCTATGGCACTCCAGTTGTGAAAAAAGAAAAGAAAGTAATATTCATGAAGTTCAAAATCTTGGATATGATAGTTCAGTTGTGAAGAAAAGAAATCTGTTACCTTCATGAACTTAAACATTTTTTTCTGGGCAGAAACATAGGATATGAATGCTATCTATTGAAATTTATAGAGTAAGACCAATTATTTTTGGATTTGTGGAACTCATCTTTTAATGACTGTCTCTTCTATATCTCTGCCGACAGATTATATATACATATTTATGCACATATATGAACATGTGGGTAAATACATACACACCCACTGTCCAAAACAGGCACAACTGACTGTTACTTATTCCTATTCCTTTTAGTTGGCAACAATAGCAATTCCACAGAAGCAGTTCTGAAAGAAGAAGATGGTAAGTTTCAACGTATGTTTGCTTCCATCTTGCGCTACACTTTTTTCGCCTTAACTTCTGAACTTCCTGCTGCAGGTAGAAAAAGCAGAAGAACTAAATATCCCCAAATAGACTGTGTGACACTATAATCTGTCTTTGCCTTGGTATCACATCGTCAAAATAAAATACTTATCTTGACATGAGACTAATATAAATTAGAGAATGCAGTGATACATCCTGAACTATTTCTACCAAACGATTTCATTCACTCCTGTTTCCATTGTTTCCATTGCCTGTGGGAAGCATGATATAAAGTTCTTTCTAGTTTGCTTTTCAAACAAAAGAAATGCAGTTTTGTCTCAGGTTTCATTCAGAAACCTAGAACTATGACTTAACTTTCCACTCTTAGAAAGAATTCCACTGAAACTCTCAGCACTTGCAATGAAAAGAGTCCATAGACTAAGAATAATTATGATGATAGAAAAATTTTTCTTTTAGTGTCCACAGTGGTGAAATTAGTATGTTGACTCTTTATTATTTTCTATATTTTCCTAAGGACTATTTTTGCAAAGTATTTTACAGCTGCCCTGTCTCCTTTAAATCACTGTACTGTCCTTTGAGTCCGGCTCCAACATTCACTGGGGCAGTGTTATCTATAATGTTTAGCACTATTCCTTCATTCAAAATAATGGACAATACACAATACAACTCAGTTGTTACTGGAGGAATTAAACAAATTGATGCAAATGAAGCATTTAACCAGTGCCTGGTGCAACAGTGATCTCTGAGTAGGCTTTTGCTTTTGTTAATATTGAGGTTGTCATGTCCATGACCTCCTGGCCTCCAAAATCTCACATGTGTACATTGGAGTTACTGGGGAAGTATGTGATATGGACACATAGGACTGTTTTTCTCTACTTAGATGTAAAATTTTCCTAAATCAGACTCCTACTGTGTATGGCTCTGCTGGTGGCTCTAGGACTGGGTGGAATTTTTCTGGGCTGCTTTCTTCATGTTAGCAGTGGACATTAAAGCCTGTAAAGCAGGCAGTTTTCTGTTTATTTTTTCATGAATATTTTTACATCACCTGTGTTGTAGTAAGCACTGTATTAAGGACTACAAATATATAGGAAAATCAGTTAGCCTTTGACATTATACTCCACTTGCAATTAAAAAAATGTACCCGTCATGAACCTTTATGTCTTAATGTAGAGAAATATAATATATGAATGACATTTACTTTGTTATATAGGGTGACACCAATCCTTTGGGTACCATGTTTTAATGACTGTTTTTCAAGTATCTATGTGAACAGAATATATAAAAAGAGAGAGAGAGAGAGAGAGGTGAGGAGGAGAGAGACTGCTATTTGATTGTAGTTCTTCTGTCACTAGTACTCTCAGAGAAGTCAGTTTGAAAGTTGGAGGTGGTAATTTGCTTTTATGGCCTTTATCTCATACTGTAGCATTTCCCCCTGTTCATCTTAACATTTAAAATTCCCTGGCTCTGTGTAGAAAAACAAGAATGGCTAGATTTTTCCAGAATTAATTGAGTGATATTTTACATCAATCCATCATTTCCTCGGTGTCATATTAAAACAGTAAACTACTGATCTTGGTATGCAGTGACTGTAAGTTAGGGAAGACTACGATGTGCTCCTGACGATTTCAACCAAGGGACTTCATTCACTCACTGGCTTATTGTTCGTAATGACTGGCAAAAAATATATATCAAGTTACCTTAACTTTGTTTTTTATCATAAAGACAAATTGTACCTCAAGGTTTATTGAGAGAACCTGAAATGTAACTTGGCCTGTCTTGTTATTCTCAGAAAAAAATAGCCACTGATAAGAATAATACATATAATAAGAGATTTTCAGTGTCTACATGGTGAAATTATGCGCTCTACAAATTATCTTCTCTGTGTTACTTGCATTATATTTAGAGTGTTTTCCACTTGTCTTTTCTCTTTTACCCACATCCACCCAGTGATTTTTTTGAATGCTGGCTCTGCCATTCACTGGTATGAGATACCTGTACTCCTTAAACTTTATTTTTTGTTCATACCATGAGCTTATCCAGAACATAGTTCACTCAGTGTCACTGGTGAACTAAAACGATGCAGGTGAAGCATTTAACAAAGAATCTAGACAGGCAATGATCATTGAAAAGATGTTAGCTTTTTTGAATATTGTTGTCTTTACGTCCCTAAACACCTCCTCTTAAAAAAAAAAAAAAAAAAAAAAAAAACATGAATATGAGTCAGGGACATTGGAAATATATATGATGTGGAAAGTTTGGACTGCTTTCCTCTGTTTGAATTAGAAGCCTTCAAAAGTGTGTAATTCTTTTGTCCCTTCTTGGATCAGAGAAATTCACTTCGGTGGCAATGCTTCAATCCAGTGGCATGTGGGAAACCTAAAAGCCACCAGTTTTTCTTTTATTTTTCAAGTGATCATGGATTTGAAGGTCTACTGCTTTGTGGGACACGCTATGAAAGGAGCATTAAATATAGAGGAAAGACAGACATTCTTGGATATTATAGTCTAGTTTTGATAACAAAGAAAAATATGTGTCCCTCAAGAATTTCAGTATGTTCTTATCAGAAACGTAAGTAACATCTATGAATTACAAGAAGGAGATGATTATATTTGGAACCATGGGGCTCATATTTTTAATAAGCGTGTCAAACTAGCATGTGGGTCAGTGGCAGAGCACTTTCCTACTGTCTTCATGGTCCTGGGTTTGATTGCCAGCAGGGGGAGCAGGAGGCGCTCCTGAATCTGTGGTAGCACAGTATACATATTTAAAAGTATGCTTACACACACATATATGCACTTCATATCATCTGCATGGGGAATTGACTGTTTCTTGCTTTTGTTTGCTTTAGTTGTTGGTGTTACCGTAGATCCTGAAGCTTTCCTGAAAGGCAAAGATGGTAAGTTTTTTCTTCTGCTTTTGTCTCATGGTGTAGCATTTTTATTTTTCCAACTGACCATCTTAACTGTGGAATTTTGCTGGCCTCAGGTAGGAAAGCCAGACCCCTGTCTGCTTCAGAATAGATGGAGGGGATCATTTCCTAGGAGCCATCCTGATAAATATAACTCTCACTCCAAGTTTTATTCACAGAAATAGATATGTGACTTGTCTAATCTGCCTTCGGAAGAAATTGTACTGAACGCTCAGCCTCTGAAGTAAAAAGAAAAGTCCAGTTGCTAAGGATAATTGACGCTGGAGGAGATTTTCTCCTCTGGTCTTTATACTCAGTTCTTCATTCAGATACAGGGCTGATCAATAACACCTGTGTTGTTGGGGAAGTAAAGTTGCCAGGGCAGAGCGTAACACAGTGCCTACCTCAGCGGTGATCACACGACAGCTGTTACCTTTTGTTAAAATTGAGTACTTCTGTGTCTCTATCCACAGATTTCACACATGAGCATACAATACACCTGCGCACACACGCACGCACGCGCACACACACATACACTGTCAAGTAGTGGGCGAGAATAATTGATTGGATTGTTCTTGATGTCTTTTCCTCTAGTTGTCAATACGACTGATCCTGAAGCTCTGCGGAAAGGTGAAAATGGTAAGTTTTCATATCTTTGCCTCCGGTTGTAGCACTGTTTCCGTGTGATCATCTTAATTCTGAATGTCCTTCACTCACAGTAGGAAAATCAGAATGGCTGAATATTGGCAAATAGATTGACACTTTAAATTAATCCATTTTTGTTAAGTGTCATATTATCATAGGAAAAACCTGGTTTTCAAAAGACATGACTGTGAATTAAAAGACACAGTGACATACCTTAAACTACTTCAACAAAGGGACTGCATTCATCTATATGTCTATGTGACATCATGATGTTAAATTAGTTCTACGTTTGTTTATTCATTTTCCTGCTACTTTGCTAGTTGTTAATAAAATGAACTGATATTTTACCCAGAAGGGCTTGGCCTGTATCCTGCATGTAATTTCAAGCTTGATCTTCAACACTTCTATCAAATGGTATAAAAGTTCACCCCCATTTTACAAATGAAGGCAATGATTTAAAATTCAGACTTTTGGGCATGCCATACAGCTAGACATGAGGTTTTAGCATAAGACATTAAGAGAACAGCTCATACCCTTACTTAGGCCTCTATTCTTCCTCTAAGGCAGAGTAATAGAACAAGAAATCCCCAGGCCAATGCCCTGAGATGGGATGGACATGTGGTGAGGTAGGAAGTACATGGCTTCTGAGCCACAGACTGGGTTCAGCACAGGTCTCTCAATGGTCAGCTGCAGGAACATGGGGAGTGACATCATTTGTGGGCAATTATTTGAGAATAATTACACTAAACTCACAGTTTTGAAGATGTAAGACCCAGATGAGAAATGTCTGTTGTAGTTTGGGATTTTGCAAGGGGAACAATTTAATACAGGACATATAGTTTATAGAATTATTTTATAATAGTCATCCAAAAATCATATACAAAGAGAGTACAGGAAATCTGTTGCTGCACTAATGACCTAAGAAGCCAGCTGAGGGCCTGGATCCCATGGTGCTGTTCTGCATGAGCCCAGCTGAAGACCTAGAGCCCAAGACAATGCTCCCTTCGAGTCCAACTGGAGGCGAAGTGCCCACAACAATGTCTCATGCAGGCCTGTTTCATGGATCTGCACTGGGAAGGCCCAAAGTTCAGTGGTGGAAGCTAGACAGCCTGTGCCACCGCGATGAAGGACATGTGCCAGTAGGCTGTGGAATCTGCACTAGAGCCAGGAAGTGATGTTCAAAGTAAACCAGAGCTCCCCCAAAAGGTACCACAGCCATCCTCAGCAATAATGAAGTCCTGAGCTCCTCTTCTGATGAGAACATCCAAGCTCCTATCAGGAAAGCCAGCACAACAAGCTTCTCCAGGAAACTGAGCAGTGCATCATCTTCCCCTCCAGAGCCAGGAAGTGATGCTTAAATTAAGGACCAGTGCTCCACCAAAGTGAACCGTAGCCATCCCCAGTGACACCAAGGTCCCGATTTCCTTTGACAATGAGAACAGCTGAGTTCATCAGGAAAGCCAGTCTGACAAGATCCTACAGGAAAACTAACAGCTCCCTACAGCTTCCCTAACAGCCTCCAAGAAGCTTTTAAATTTCTTCCTCTCCAGGTCTACCTCTTATGCTGCTGGCGACAATCCCCAGGTTGGCCTCCTACACCCAGCACCACCCTGGTTCAGTTCAGCTGGGTGTTACAAGTTGACCACCAGCTGCCAATCCACCACATCTATCATAGAGACCCATGTAGCAGGCTTAGGACCAGGACTTGTTTCTGGTTCTTCCTCTTTACATATGCACCAAGAATGTGACTTGAAACATTGGATCCACACTGTCGACATTTGCTCTGATTTTAGTGTCCACAGAGCTTTGGACTTCAGCTGTCACACCAGGCAAGGAGGGCAGCAACCCTCACTGACCAAGGGCAGGGAGGTAGGAACATTTTTCCATAGGAGTCCCCTTCCTACACCAAGGGCTAGTGATTCATGAGTTCTGAAGAAGGGGGTCATGTAAAATGGAAATTTCCACAGAGAAGGACTTGGCATTGTGACTCATCATGTAGCCACTATGGCCCACTGTCATTGTCTTTAATCGTAACTTAACATCACATACTACATGCAAAAATTCAAAGAATCTTGACTTCAGTTACCCAGTAACATAGTACCACCAATAAAAGACAATTAGGAAAGAGAGAGCAGTGTGTCACAGTCACAGAACAGCTCAGATAACTTCAATTAACCACTTTCTCATAATTTCTACTGAGGTTTCATTTCTAAAATCTCCTACCTACCCCACTAGGAGCAGCATCAAATTTCCTTGGATTGTCCTGCTCTTCCAGATCTCGTGGCATGTGCAAAGTGTAAGGGCTCAGATTCCCCTAAATAAGAACTCACCTTGACATAGCTGTTTAACCTTTTTTTGTCTTGTGTGTTAACTGAACTTGGAGATGCAGAATCTGAATGTAGTTAAGAATGTGTTTTTAATGTCATATCGCTGGGGTCAAAATCTGGGGCTACCAGTTTAGAGATGCATGATATCTAGTCAATTATCTCTTCGTTTCTTTAGTTGCTTTTTTTGCAAAATAGGAATGAAATTCATTCTTTCTCTCATAGCTGGATATAAAGATTAATTAATGTAAAATTTCACTTGCAAAATGGTCAGTGGCTAACATATATTGTTTCTATTACTTAGAGATACTATGGGGATAAACACATTCTACTACATAGTTATCACAGGTACCTTTTTCCTCAAATTGAATCATTCACTAAAAATGCAACGTTATGTTTTTAATATTAAGAAACTTCTAGGTAATTCAATAAATGTTAATCCAGTTGAGTTGCAAGCTCAGTCTACCCTTGGTCACGTGATGGGAGTAGTAGATGCTGACCTTTGGGGTTGGATGTGGTGGGTGGTGTCACTTCAACACCCTGTGACACCTCCCTATTGTGTGTCCCACACTGTCACAGCACAGTAAAACTCATGATCCCACTTCTTTTAGGTTTGCTGAGCCTGCAGCTCGCCAGCACATCTGCCTACTATACTTATTTCCTGCTGCTGCTCAAGAGCGCCCTCCATGGGACCTTCCTCACTTTCTGTCTATGCAGAAGATCAGCTGTCTGCGGGTACCCGAAGAGCACCGGAGAAACGGAGACATGCGGGTCTATGGTGTCTCCACTGTTTCCTCTCCCCAGCTGCATCTCCTGAGGGTCTGCTAGGCTTGCTGAGATTAGGCTCCTGAAGGCCACGTGTACACTATTCTGTCAATATACAGTAAGGGTTTCCCAACCAGCAGGGAAACTGCACAATTTCACGTTGTCACAAAACATGGCACAGCCCAAGGTGCCTGAGCCCCGTCCCTCCACAGTCTCCATAGCCCCTCCAGCCAGATCAGGTCCTGACCGCCTCGGTGTCCATAGCTCACCACTTTAGGTCAGGGCCTCTGGGACCATGGAACAGGTAACCTCTGGAAGTCACCACTCTACCCACCCTGCCACAGCCTTCTTTGCTATTCAACTGTGTTTTGATACTAATAATAAATGTTTTCAAAATTCAAGTTTTGTCCATGCATATTTTCATTTGACGAAATTTAAATTCCAAGATGAGAAACAGCATTCAAACTGAACCATGTTATGCTGGTTGCTAAGTGGGGTGCAGTGTTATATTTCTATTTCTGTCCAGAGAGGTGGTTATGTCCTTTTCCTTAGGGATTGTCTTCAAGAGAAGACACAGTCAAGTGAAAATGAGCATGGCATTGCTCTTCCCAAGGTCAGGGGATTTAGCTTCATTTAGTCTGAGAGTTTCCATAGCAAAAGAAAGATGCAAAGTGCCTTGTAGCGTCAGGTCTGTCCAGCATTCACAGCATCATGTGTCCTGAATTCCAAATGTCCCCCAGAGACAGGTACCAGCCAAAGAGAGGCAGTGCACTTGAGAATGTGATCACACGGACTCTGGACCCAGAGGGTGTGTGTTTCAATCCTGAGTTCAAAATTTAGTATCTCGGTGACCTCTAATATTAGAATTATCTGTGTCAAAATTTCCTCCCGTAAAATAAAGTTAGGCACTGTGTCATGCAACTGTGAGGCTCAGATGACTTAATCACACTTGCCACAAGAAATCCTCAACAGCATTGTCGTGTTATGAATTCTTCTGTAGAAAGAGTGGATCCCACACTCACACAGAAAAGTATAAAAGATGATCTCTGTTCTTAGTTCTCTGCAAAGAGGATGACTGGAGTGGAATAGAGACTTAGCTTCTGCCGTGCCCCCAGAAAACACATGATTCTCTACAAGCTCCTCAAAGAAGATAAAACTATTGACCAGGGTTTATGGATTGGAAAAATTAAGTTACCCACTAAGGACATTATATTTAAGTAGTAGTCATAATTTAAAACTAGGTCTCTAAGAATACCACATATGTCCCTATCTGTGTATATACATATATAATTCCTCTAATGCCACACATCTGTCCTTTCTCCCCTAATGTCATGCATCTTCCTTTCATTTCAGTTGTGAAAACAAAAATGTATTTTGCCTCCTTATTGGAGGATGCCTCCAATAAGTCAGTGAGAATTTCCTGAAAGAGTTATGAGTGTATCTGTGTTTTCTCCTCATATACACATTACCCCTCTGATTGTCACTAATTTCATCTTTTTTAAAACTGTGACCTACGCTGGAGTTACTATAACTGCTCCCCTTACTACAGATACAGGGGAAATCCTGCTTAGCTCTTGCTCTTCATTGCAAGTATCATTGATATGCAACTGCTCATTTCTAGAGAGCAGCAATGATGTGAATGGTGAGCCTCAGACATGGTGGGACCTCTCACCATGTCCTCGGGTGTGGACAGCACTCTGACACCCAGCTCCTCCCAGGGATGTTCTGCTAGGATCAGGTGCTTTTCCAGGGCAGGAGCTGGGTTATGCATCCTTTGTGGTCCAGGACTTCTTCACCATAGCACAGCTGCCCCATGAGGGAAGCAAGCTGGTGAGGGGGGAGGACTCAGGACCAGGAGTCACATGTCACAGCCAGAGCCAGCTCTGGATACTGAGTTGTTTTCTACCTATCTGTATGATTGTTCTTTCTTTTAAAAATGGCATATAAAATTTGCACGTTTACGGAATCTTGTGCTGTTTGACGTTTGCATGCATTGTGTCATGCTTAGATCAAGATAAGTTTATCTTTCTCCTCATTCATTGCTTTGTCAGGAAAGCCTTTCTCCTATGTTGTTTTAAAACACATCATATTTCATCCTCTGTATTGATTCACACCTGCCTAAGTTCATCCATTTTTAGAAAACTGTTTCAAATTAAATACTTTCAGATTGCTATGCAAAGTAAAGTAACACATTCAGTGACTGACATCTAATAAATTAATAATAGCAGTCACTTGTGTAGTGTTTACTGTGCAAGGTATGGGTTTAAGTGTGTTTTGAACCATTTAATTCTCACATGCACACCCTGAGCTGTATGTAGTTGTCTCTGTTCTGTAGACGGAGAAATGGAGCTGAGGAATTTCCCCAAGCTACATAGCTAATAAAAAAGAGCTGAGATTGAACCTAACCTGCTTGGCTTTAGGAGCTCTGCTCTTGTCTTGTACATTATTTGCTCCTAGAGCAAAAATGTATTACTGTTCAAGAAATTTTCCTTCCTCACTAGATGCAGTTCTGGGGAAGAGAACAGCCTCCTTACCCGCCTGACCTGCTGATAATTTGCTCTCCTGGCCTCTCTACTGTTCTTACAATCACAAGGCTGTAGACCAATCTCTTGATACTGGGGAAACTTTTACACAGTGTTCTCCCATCTACCAGGAGACGTCTATGACTCAAGTCTGTGGTATCTGGATGAAATAAATATGAGAACAGCCAGCTGCATTTCTAGCCTGAGGCAAAGATTTACGCAATTCCACATTAAGCCATTTATGTCTCAGTCTTTGCAGAGGTAAAGGATTCCATACACTGCTCAACTGTACACATTTAAAACATTATCAAGCAAACTGCATTTTTCTGAATTATTAAGAAAAGGCAAATTTTTACACAACAATTTTCAACACATTCCGATTAACGAACTTTTTTTACTGCCTTGGAATTATTTTCTTCATAGACTTCATTTTTTTATTGTGTGTGTGTGTGCCTGTGTGTAGGGTGTGTGTGTGTGTGTCTGTGCATGTGGTATGTGTGTGTAAGAGGATGCAATTAATAATAACTGATTTGCAACATTATATTAATCATAACCCTATGTAATCACTAGTTAGAAATTAAGAGTATTAGACATCACCAAAGATACTACACCAAGGTGATGTAATTTAGTCCAAGGCTAGAAACCCAACATTTTAATGAGCCATGAAAGCTTATGTGACTGAAATCATGGTTTCCATCATCTTCTGTTAGGCTATTTATTTGTTTGCTTTTGTGTTTTATTTGATTAATGTCAAAAAGCCTGTACTTCGAGCATCAAGAGTGCCAGGCACTCTGTGTTATTTCTAAAGCTCTCAGCTGCACAGTACAGACACTATGTTCATGTCACTATGTCAAGCAGGTCTCAGAGATCCCATGTTAATCACCCAGTAAGCCCTAGTGTTAAATATGTTCAATGCTGAACCTAGACTAAGCCTGCATGGTGAATATGTGCATGCCATACAAGTCAGCCACACTGTTAAATATGTCAAACGTTAAAAACCCCAGAGTCTACGTAGTTCTGTTGAATTTGAGATCTAGTATTCTCTCTACCGCACTAATAATGGCTCTTCCTCTCCTTTAAGGGCCCTTAAGAGTCATGAAAGCCCAGATCTTGTCACAGGCTTCCTGTAGAGACTTTAACAACTCTTTAGTTCCAATGCACATCAAGGTTAAGGCTAACAAGTGATTGAAAGAGCTCCTGACCTCCAGCATGGCTGTCTCAGATGGCAAGTGAGTGGGAGCCATCAGAGCCCGAGCACACTGCTCAGGCATGGGGCATGCTCCGCCTGGGCAGGGTTGTCAGCATCTGAGCCATCAGCTCACTCAGGAAGCGATGTATATTTTCTAGAATCATGTCAAGAATGTTCATTCACTATAGCACTACCAAGACAAGCTGCAAATGAACCCAAATGCCCAGTAAGAAAGGTGAATGCCCTGGCATAGACCCATATGCATCCTCTTAAAACATACACGAATTATTTAAATAATTGGAAAATAATCAGGACATAAGCTTGAAATATAAATGCACAACATGGACTTTCTGAAATTTTTAAATGATGTACTGACAAGATTTAAAAATTAAAACACTCTAATTTCTGCAAATACAGATGTATATACATAAATGTGTGTGTGTATATATTATATATATATATATGCATCTCTATATAACCCCATTTCTCTTTCTTATACAAAGGTAGCTTTAAACACATATTTTTAACATATTTTATTTATAAATCCTAGAGATGTTTATTTTTTTCTTTTTCTTTTTTTTATGTTAAAGGTAAAAGAACAAAGGCATTAACAAACACAAATATATTTACAAAATAACACAAAAACAATACAAGCAATACAGAATTTCAGACAAGGTGACAGGAAATTAACAGTGGTTATTGTATTACATATTGATATCCTCAAATTGCTTACTCAGATAAACAAATATAGGCATGTAAGATTGATCAAACAATTAAACATTAATTGTTCCTTTCAATAAAGCAATAGAGCTCTTTTAAAGTCGTGTTATGGACACATTTGAACACATACAAGGTATTTTCCTGGTGAACATAACATACAGTATTTGATCAGTTCCCTCTAATAGATTTTTGGTATATTTCCAATTATTTGCTACTACAAAAAAATGGAAAAATGATGACTTTTATGTCATTTTAAGTATGTGCACTGGTGATTTTTGTGGCAGTGCTGCCTTGACCCCCATAGAGAGCCGCGTTCAGCTCTCCATGCAAGGGCAGCCTGACCGAGATAGCCAAGCGGGACGAGTGAGTAGGCAAGGTGTGGGGGAGAAGCCTCTGGAACACGGGACTGGAGACATGATGTTCAGAACAGAAACAGCCAAATGCAAAGCAGCTGAAGGCTTTGTGGCACAGCATTTTCAGAGAAACAGGAACACAACACAAGAGGGCAGCCACGAGGAGGTGAGCCCCTGGGTAAGGGGTCACAGAGGCACCTTCTACCAGGCTAAGGGTCTGTTTCTGATTCCTTTATGCCTCGGGAGGCTTTTGACTGGGGGAATGACACCATTAATTCTGCATTTTCATAGGTACTGACAAAGGCCGTGAGACCCAGGAGCTGTAATCGGGACTCTCGCACTAGAGCTGAGGCTCCAACCTGCGCTTTGCCACTGATCCTGTGTGAGACGCTGGGTGACTACTCTTGTCCTCTCTGCCTCGGTCTCCTCAGGTCCACACTGCGAATAACAAGAGCCTCACATCACAGAGGCGTGAGTGGAGTAAATGAGAGAATGTCCAAAAAGCCCTGAGAGCAGAGCCTGGCACCCACAAAATGTGAACAACGTTGAAAATATTTTTTATTCTGAAAAATAAATTTACATAAAATGTAATCTTTTGACCATTTTAAGTGTGCCAT